GGTTAGGTAAGGTCGGTGTTTTCTATGAATCTTTTTAAGGGTATCTATTATGTTTAGTATATCACCTATGCACGTAGTTAATAAGTCAATATTGACTTTACGAATTTGCGAGAACGGGTTGTCTAGAGACACGTTTATTTCATGAGAAGGTACTTTGAAACTATCACATAGGGAACTATCATATAAGGAACCTGGTGAAACTGCAAGCAAGAGCTGTAATCCTTTCTCAGCTCAGTTGAAGCCCACTCCTAGAGGCCCATTTATTTCATGAGCCTGTTATATGCATCGGTAGGAATAGTCTTTATTCATTAACAACATTAGGTAGCACTCATATAAGGAACAGGATGAGCTTGTAGCCAACTGTGTGCCTTCATGTGATCAGTTGAACTGATCTCCCGTGTGTCAACCTGTTGAGCTAACAAGTTCCAGATGCGAGTCAGCCTAGGAGTGAATGATCCCTGATGGAGTGATGTTCTTGAGAAAGGCAGTTCCAGCATGAAACTATTTAAGGTTGAGAGCCTAGTGGCAACCAGTAGGGTGCCAATGACTGGTTGTCCATGGAATTGTGCCAGGAGCCTATGATACACTTTCCAATTTCTTAATTGCTTTTAAATACATGGATGGTGAAATACTAAATAAATTTTTCACAATATTTTGAGACCACAGTTGGAATATGCAGTAGTTGTATGGTGCCCATATCTTAAGAAGCACATCAACAAACTGGAAAAGGTACAAAGACATGCACCCAGAACTGAAAGACAAGAGCTACAAGGAAAGGTTAGAGGCATTAAATATGCCAAAACTAGAAGATAGACAAAAAAAGGGATAATTTGATCACTATGTACTTACAGAATAGTAATGGGAATTAACAAAATTGTTAGGGAAAAATTCCTGAGACCTGGAACTTCAAGAACCAAAGGTCATAGATGTAGGCTAACAAAACAAAGTTGTCAAAGAAATATAAGAAAACTCACTTTCACAGAGTGGTAGACGGTTGGAACAAGTTAAGGGAGAAGGTGATGGAGACCAAAACCGTCAGTACTGTAGTTTCAAAGCGTTGTATGACAGAGTACTGGAAGACGGAACACCATGAGCATAGCTCTCATCCTGTAACTACACTTAGGTAATTACTTAGGTAATTATGCATTCATTCATTTGTAAATACAATACTGTACCTGCAGTTCTATTTATAAGTGATTAAAAGTTGCCTTTCCTATTAACATCCGGACAGCGGTTTTCGTCACATGTTGATTCACAGGGTAATGTGGTTATCGCCACTTGACGATTTGAACAATTATTGTCTGGGGTTTTACTTACATGAAGCAAATAAGGATATAATAGCTCTATGTAGATGTAGTGGCACTTACCTTGACCCACGAACAAATCCTGCTATTGTTTAGTGGTTGCGTTACTACTGGTATGTAAATGCGATTATTGTCATAAATGTTACTGGGTGAGTGTGGTCATTGTATAAAATTCTATCGTATTTACATGATATGTATACCAATGATGTTCATATGGTTTTCACAACTCCTTATGGTTATAATGAGGTATACCAGGAAAACCAATTATCAATTGAATCATTATCATGCATTACATACACTAGGAGCATATCCTCATCTGAGGTGGCACAATGGTGGCTAAGTAACTGCAGGTACTTTGTTTGAATCTATTCTCTCAGCCATATGGTGCCAGTTAGGCCATATGTCATTGCCCAGAGCCCAACACCATTGTATATTATGTTCATATGGTTTTCACCACTATTTGGTTGTAATGAAGTATACCAGGTAAGTCAATTATCAGTTGAAACAATATCATGTTATGTAAATTATGTGATTTATCAAGTTATTCAACACACACATACACTTGTAAATAAAAAGAAACAAGTGATAAACAATCATTGAAACATCCGAGGAGAAGACAGAATTTGCCTCTCGCATACCTCAGTGTCGGCAAAGTTGGCATCGTGTGTTGACAGACGCCAGACCACATAGCCACCATGGAACCTTTCAGACCACCTCCACCCAGTAATATTCACAATATAGAATAATTTTTTTTTTTTTTTACATTTTACGTAAAGTTAATAATTCTATAATGAAAAATAAATTTTGGAACTTGTTATTTTTTGAGGGCATGGGCAAGAATGATCATTTTTATATAGCTGCTGTAGAAGAGTCAAATTTTAAAATTCATATGCAAGTTATGAAAGTTATAAATACATATAAAAGTTATATTTAAAATGGTTAATTTTGATATGCTAAAGTTTTGTTGTTTGGTGGTATGTGACCTTGTCTTGTGTTGTCTCGTGTAGAGCTTCAGTCTGGCTTGTCTTGGAGTGTACTTGGAGATTATATTAATACCTTATTGTTGCTTGCAACTGGAGAGCATTCTTGCTGCTTGTCTGCATCTGTTGCAGTGCTCATGCAGGAGACTCAGGTCATCTGCATTTCTCAAGGTTTAACCATTTTCAAGTTAAGATTTCAGTTTGCATTTTCTAATATTCCTTTCTGCAATCAACATACAAATCTATATCTTCAAGTCCCCTAAACATGCTAAACATGCTCTCACTCCACACATTCTCTTGTGCTATTTATACGTACAAAACCTTATTCCTAAATGCTAATCTTGATCTGAAACTTTTCCTTGATATGTATAATAGAACCCATGAGCACCACACCAGAAATAAATGTCTTTGATATCCCCAAAGTTAAACTAAATTTATGCAAACATTTCATCCAAATAAAAGGATGCAGTCTATTGAACTCACTCCCAAATGAATTAGAAAATTGTCCAACCTATGCTTTATTCAAAAGTAAAACCAAAAAGTACCTAATTTCATCCTCATAGTTGTGCTTCAAACTTTTACTGTATCTTGTGCTATCCACTCCAACAATACTAGTACTCAAGATAATATCTACACCAGTGTAATCATCTCTTTCAATTTATATTACAGTTATATGATAGAAAATTTTGCTACAATGTACCTTTTCATCTTACCCGATCTGGTAGATAAAGGATCTGGTGGATTAAGGACCTGTCCGAAACACTGTGCGTACTAGTGGCTTTACAAGAATGTAAACACGTCATGCTATGTACTCTCATAACCCCAATGTAACTTCTTGTATATATATAAATAAATAAATAAATAAATATATATATATTAATTTTTCATGAAAAAGTTACTTGGAAGAGTCTGTAAGTGCCTCCTTGCTGCTGAATACATTTACAGTATATGTATCTTTGATCACATGTTACCTGCTGTGAATTAAATATATTCATGACACTTTGATACTGTGTTTATTTTAGTTCTCTTTGTGTGGCTAAGTCGAGTGCATTGACCTGTTAGTATAAAAAAAAGGTATGTGGTATAGAATTCACAACAGATGTTTACTAAAGGTCTTTGACACCACAAGCATCCAGTGCTGTTCTTTGTGGGAAATGTCCCAAGCTCACGAAGAAACGTATGTAAAGAGCTGTGCGGAACTTTGGTGTTTACTTGTTCTACGATCACTGGCCAAATGTGATGGCCTCTTGGAAATGTCGTTCTTGGTATGAAATATTTTGTGAGTGACCTGCAGTCCAGGTATCTGCAAACATGTGTGTTTCTTATATCCATCTCTTGATTTTAATTTTTGTAGATCAACTTTAATTCCTTGTTCATTTTTGGGGGGTTTATCAATATGCTTACATATTAAATTTCTATTACATTATACATGATTTGATTTTTTTTTTTTTACTTTAAGTCAAAACTAACACACAAATTTGATTAAACCTAACCTACCTAACCTATCCTAACCGAACATAACAAAGTTAGTAAATCATGTAACTAATATAATATATTATTATTGTTAGGAAAGAACCAATTTGGAAAGAAATGTTTTAAAATAATGAAAATCGTTCTGTCTTTGAGACACATCGTACCTTGCACCCTAGGCCAAGTAGTGCTGTTCTGGCTATTATAATAATTACACAAACTATGCAGATGCAACTTAAAAGCTTTCACAAACTTATTTCAAAATAAAAGAACTTCCTGTTGGAATCTCTCCACCTATTTGAGACCAATACCATTGTATGCTTTCTGTTTGGAACCCATACCTTCTCGAGGACATTAAAAGGATCAACTTACGTCTTGCCACCATTTGAAGGAGCTAAGTTTTTTGCAGACATGCGCAATAAACTTAAAATGCTGGGGAAACGAAAATGGGACATGATTATAGCATGCAAGTTAGTTAAACATATTGACAAGGTTATTACAGACAACAAGGGTGGGAACAAGACATGGTGACACAAGTGGAAGCTGAGCATCTGACTCAACCAAAGAACTATAAAGAACCTTATTCAGCTTGAGGGTAGGGAGTGTGTGGAATGCACTAATGGAAGAAACATTTAAAACTATATCTAAACATGAGTTAAAATTAAAATTTTACAAGTTGAGAAGGTAACACACAGGAAGGTTAATGGTTAATAGATAATTCCTAATGCTTATAGTTCAATCTTTTCAAGTTTAATTAGGTCAGTACTTCTGCACATAAACATTTTGTTTTATATAGGCTCAAGAAGTGTGTGTGTATGTGTGAATAGATAAGATCTGAAAGCTAGTCACAGGTATGACCACTGGATTGTTAGTCAGAGGAATAGTGGTTAGACATTTATGGGACATCATTAGATTAAGAGGTTTATTTTCTTGGTATGGTAATTCTTGATTAAAATTGCAACTTTTATGGTTTGTGTACTCCGAGGGAGAGTATCAGTGAAGCTTCTTTTAAGAGGTAAAGTGGTTGAGGTGATGTTGGCTGTTGGCACTGTCCTTGCAACTATTTGTGGAGTTGAGAGAGTTGCCTTGAGGTGAGATCTCCCCCCATTTTCTTTGGTTATGTTGTGGTTGGGATAAAAACACTATTTATGAGGACAAGATTTGATGGTTAGTACTTTTAACTTGGAATTTACTTCTTTATGTTGTTGTTATTGATTGTTTAACTGTGTAAAGTATCTGTTGGCAGGTGTGAACTTGACAGACTCCAAAAACAGCATGATGAGAATTTGGCGAGTGCCTCCATGGACGCGAACAAGTCCCAGCACTCTCAGTTGGAGGCAGCCAGGAGTAGCCACCAGCGTGCCATCGCCACTAGAGATGCCACCATTGCTGCACTAAAGGACGAACTTGACCAGCAGCAACTCTCTCACCAGGAGCAGCTGGACACCTGGAGCCATAAATACGAGAACTTGCTGAGTGAGCTGGCCGAGGCCAAGTGCCAGTCAGTGTGTCAGGTGAGACCTTGCTAATGTCATGTGGTTTGTCTTTCTGTATATTGTGCCCAATGATTCTTGATTTATAATGACAATAGTGTTTGGCAGTTAATGATAAATTATCATAGTTATGGAAATATATATATATATGGCTGTGTGCCAACGGTTGTGCTGTAAAGAGAACGTTAAGCATGGTTGATGCTAAATTTAGGTTGTTGGGTAAGGTGAGTGAGGCTGATATTGGAGCAGTGCCAGGCTTTATGGCAGCCTGGCCCCAACATCTTGAGATGCAGCAGTCAAGGGGAGGACTCCTGTAGAGAGGGTGGTGGGCACACCAAGTCCAAGGTGGAGTGCCACAGAGTAACACAAGTGGCACTATAAGGAATCTGCTGCAACTGGGAAAGCAGCAGAGAATAGAAAGCAACAGTGTTAGAAGCTTTAAAATAAGAGGACCCTGCTTTATTCTTGCTCTCACTCATCAGCCATGGCAGACCCCAAGCAGCAAATAGAGCTGGAATGTCAGCAGGTGCAAGAGCACCTACTAAAGCTGACTGCTGACCGAAATGCCCTTCACCAAGAGTTTCAGCAGCTGACCAAGAGCAGTCACCGTCTTCTGCAGCAGATCCAGGAAGACAGTACCTCGGCCAGCGAGAGAAAGTTCCATAACTATGAGGCCGAAAAGAAGAGAATTGCAGAGAAGCTGGAAGCTCTTGAAAGTGACATCTTGGAGAAAGATAGGAATATAGCACTGTTAGATGCCAAAGCTGGTGATTATTTGCTGCAAGTGAGCACAACTAGTAATAGTTTGTTTGATGATGATAAGGCAGAGAAGCCTTTTGTCAGTGGTTGTGGTGGTGGTGGTGATGCAGTGGCTGTTGGGGAGGGAAACATTTCTATTGAGGGTGCTAAATTTGGTAGTAATGAGGTTGAAGTAAAGTGTAGTGATAAGTGTAATGAAATTTCCCAGGTTAAAGTTGAAGGAAGTGCAAATAAGAAAGATGATGAATCTGAGAGAGTGATGGAAGATGTTAATGTCTTGTGTGGTAGTGAAGAAGCATACGTAATTAAAATGGCAGACACGATCATTAGTGAGGCTCTTGACGAGGCTGCAAGAGAAGAACGCCCTCGGGAGTCTGATAGTGCCATTAATACAGTAAATGTGCCTATATCCGAGCCTAAAAAGGGTGAAGATGTAGTTAAAGTGGTAAAAGTTGAAGCAGAAAAAGCAAATGGAATCAGTGATGATGAAGTGAAACAAGAAATGTTGAAAGAGAAAGAGGTTTATCATAAAGAAATTGATTCAGTTAATGTAGAAGGTAAAATAGAAATGAAAAAATGTGTTACAGAAAATAGTGAAGGCTTGGTAGATGATGTGTTACCAACAGAAATTGTAGAGACAAAAAAGAGTGAAATAGCTGAAAATGATAATGTCAAAAATAAAGATGAAAACCTGGAGAAAGTAAATAGAAGTGATAGAGATGTGATACCTGGTGCAGTGATGACAGGTAAAGATGTAAGTGAAGTGCCACATGCTGTAGCTCCTGCTCCCTCTGTTACACCTTCAACCTCTCTGCTAGATTCTGATGCAGCTCTTCCTACAGTCACACAATCCACATCAGGAAGTTCTCCAAAGGATATTCCAGGGAAGGACAATGCAGGTAAGCAGACTCAAGGTAATGGATCGCCAGTTCGGGATCAAGTAGCCTCTCTATCGGTACTTGTGGCTGAACTACGTCGAGTTAAAGATGATATGGGCAAGTGCATGTCTGTTAAAGAGCAATCCTTCATTGAATTGGAAGATCAGCTTCAGGCAGCCAACAAAGAGGTTGCATCTTTGAAGGTTTCAATGTCATCTTTGGCAAAGGATCTTGAGGAAAACAAACAAAATTATCAAGTACTTGAAGAGGAAAATAAGAAAAAGAAGATGGACATTGAATTTAAAATGAGTGAGGTTCAAGATGTCACAAACAAGTGCACTATGTTGGCAGAGGAGAAGTCTGATTTGTTGCGAAAGTTGGAGGTGTTAGATATAATGATGACTGAATACCGCACTGAAATCGAGATGCTTGTTGCTGAAAAGACAAAGATGGAGGAACAGACAAAAGAGTTACTGGCTGCTAAGACAACAACATCTGCAGCTGAAGCTGAAATAGACTCAAGGACCAATGTTGAAGAAAAAGAAAAAGAAATAGAAGAATTGGTGGAGAAGGTACAGAGTATGGAAAAAGAAATGAAGGAGTTGAATGATAAGTTAAAGGTTACCAACAGGCACTTGAAGGTTATGGCTCGAGAACGTGAGCATAAACAGAAGGAATGTGAAGTTCTCAAGCGTAAAGTTGAAATGGTCGAGCTTAAAATGTGTGAGCTTCAAGGAACATTTGACATGTTGGTGAAGGCTGTTATGGTTGAACGAGATGATCTAATTAAGGAAATGGAGGAGAAGAACAGTCAGATAGATGACCTCCAGCAGACTCTCGTCCGACTTAAGGATACACATGAACAAGAACTTGAAAATGTGTTGTATGATAAAAAAATAATAAATGATGAACTGTTACAATACAAATCTGGCGAATTAAGGTCAACCAAAGTACCTGTGGTGGATAAAAAGGAGTTCGATGCTGTCGTACAAAAAAAAGAGACACTGGAAGAAGAAGTAAGACAAAAGACTGACCTAACAATCTTCCTTAATAAAAAAGTGCAAAGTATCCAGGATGACATGACAGACTTTGTAGACTCTCTCAAAGATGAAATGGCACGTCTTAAGGAAGACGGTGAAAAAATGAAGTCGGAGAAGGACAAATTGATGGAAACATTTGCCACATTACAGACTGAATATTTGGACTTGACAAATAAACATCAACATATGGAATCATCATATCAAGAACTTGAAATATCAAACAAAGAAAAAACAGCAAGTGTGGAGGCCCTGAAGCTACAGCTGGAGGATCTGCAACATCAGCTGGAAGACCTAAATGCTAAGAACTTCAACATGACAACAGAGATGTACAACAAAGACGAAGAGTTTCGCGAGGAGTTGGCAGCTCGAGAAGGAACCATCCAAGAGTTAACTGTTACTCTCACAAATAATCAGAAACAATCAATGGAGAACTATATTGCTTTGGAGGAGGACAAGGCTTCTCTGGAGACAAAGTACAAGACTATACTTACAGAAAATGAAAGGCAAAGAAAAGATTTTGAGGAGAAATTCAAGCTATCAGAAGAAGAAAAAAGTAAAGAAGTAAAAGAGCTTCAAGAAAAAATTAATTCCTTGATGGAAAATTTGAAAGAAATTAAGACTGAATTGACAGAGTCACAAGCTTCGGCTCGCCTCCAAGACAAGTATTCCACATCCGCGTCGCTGCCGTTTGATTCTTCTACAACTTCCCATTCTCTAGTGACAGATGCAGAATGTGGAGAAGTTGTGGATAAAGAGAACCTCATTGAGATCCTTACTAAAAGAGGAAAAGATCTCAAGGATGCTCTTGAGGTGACTCAAAAGAAGTTAGATGATAAGGAGGCTGAAACAAAAAACCTTATAGATTCAGATATTCCAAGAATGCAGGTACAAATCAATGAACTTACATCAGAACTCGAGACTCTTAAAGCTAAATCCACAGCTAGTGGAACTTTTAAGAGTCATGAAGAATTTGAGTCTATTATTGCTGCCAAAGAGGAGAAAATAAGAGAACTTGAAGTGAAAGTCGCTGAATTAGATAAATGCATGGCGTACATCACACAGCTTGAGGGGAAACTTCAAGGAACACCAGATGTATCGAACAATATAGAATCTCAGCTTGTGCAGATAAATCAACTAAGTGCTGACATTTCCAAGCTGGAGGAAGAATTGAAACAAAGCTGTGGAGAATGTGAAGCCTTAAAAACTACAATCACTCAGTTAGAAAATGACAAATTAAATTTTGAAAGAGAGAAATCCAAGTTAGTGGAGGAATATGAGAGTAAATTACAGCAGGTAAATGGCAGTCTCGAGGAAGCTAATGCTGAGCTAGAAAAAAAAAAAAACTCGGTTGAAAGATTAAAATTAGAACTTAGCAGCAGTAGTAGTAGTTATGTAGAGGAGGTTGCAAAACTAGAGAGCAACCACATAGGTAGAATAGCAGAGTTAGTCAAGCTTCATAGACATAAAGTAGAAGAACTTAGAGTAAGCAATGCAGCCCAGGTCACAAAACTGCATAAATGCATTGATGAAATATATGAAGAGAAAGCGGCTTTGGATGAAGAACTCAAGAAAATTAAATTTGATTATAATGAATCTGTTTCAAAGCAAGAAATAAATTTGATACAAGAAAAAGAGAGTCTTCAATCCAAGGTTGAAGCTCTTCAACAAAAAAATGAATTGCTAGAGAAAGAGAAAAAGAAGATTGAGGAAGAAAAAAGGCTATTAAAAAATGGCTTTGAAGAAGAGCAAATAATGGCAATGGATATGCAAACTCAGATGGTGACTGATCTGGAACAGTTGATTCTCAGTTTGGAGTCTGAGAAAAACAACTTGGAGAAACAGGTAGCTCAGTTACAATCGTCATGTGATATTCAGTCTGGCAGCATTCTTGAAGGTGAGAAGAAAGTAGCTATATGTGAAGATCTTGTTATAAATATGGCAAAGGAAAAAGACATTCTTAAGGAAGAGATAAAAAAGCTGAAAGAAATTATTGGGGAAGAAACAGTTTCCCGGATCAATGAGGACCATCAAAAGTCAAAAACCATTGAAGAACTCACGTCAAAAACTGCAAAATTAGAAAATTTGCTTGAGAAAGCAGAGATATCTTTAGAAGAGCAAGAAGAAATTTATGCTCTTAAACTTAAAGAGGAAAAAGACGACCATTTGATGCAGCTGAAAGCTTTACGAAAAGAACTTTCCGAGGAAGTTGGTGTTATTGAGGAAAGTAAAGAGAAAGTGTCACTAGAATATGAAGATAAAATTGGCTTGATAATTGCTGAGTATCAGGAGCAGCTTAGTACAGTGAAAAGCAAATATGATGCCAAGATGCTGGAGGAGAAAGCCG